ACCCCCCCCCCTCCCCATATATAAATAAATAAGCAGATGAATAAATAAATAAGTAAATAAATAAATAAATAAAAAAGCAGATGAATAAATAAATAAATAAATAAGTAAAAAAGAAAATAAATAAATAATATCACCCGTAAAGCTTTTGTCCACTGTTTTCTAGCTAATCCTTTCTTGTTTTTCTTTCACTTTTGTGTAACTATAATAAATGTGTGTTGTATTTGCTGTAGATAGATGATATATTGAACATACAATTACAAAACCAAATCCACTACTCAAGCCAGAGGACAGAATTTTTTTCTTCACAAAGAATCTATTATTTGACCAATCTTCGTAGTCAGAAAGGAATCGGGCAAATTCTCTTAGACAACAACTTTTAACAGAGGGTGTCCATATTATGTAAGACGATAAGGACACTGAAACCCAACCCTCTATCACCAATAGTAAGTTGTTGTTTTCTTTTAATGAATGAATAGTTACATGCAAATCAACAGGCTTGCGGATGATTAGATATTTTCTTTTTTTTCATTAAGATTCCGCATTGCAGTGACGAGCAATGGAGTGATTGAAAGAGTAGATCTACATGTAATATTGTGTACTTTGTCAAATTATTGTGACGAATTATTGTGTAAATGTATGTAATGACGTTTTAAACCAACGTGAATCTACAAAAGCGCCATTTATTTGTTTTTTTTAGCTTATGTATTATTGTTTACTTGCACTTTCAGAGCCATGTGCTGGAGACCCCAGTGCTATCCCTCCAGATGATCAAAGGGGGAGAAACTCTGGACGCGGCAAGAGTACTGGTTCTTGGCGCTGATCAGCTCGGTCGTCACAAGATCTCGGTCTGGGGGCACCACAACACCAGGTGGGCAAAATTGTTAATCTCTCTCTCTCTCTCTCTCTCTCTCTCTCTCTCTCTATCTCTATCTCTCTCTCTCTCTCTCTGTCTGTCTCTCTCTCTCTGTCTCTCTCTTGCTCTCGCTTTCTCGTTCTCTCTCTCTCGCTTTCACTCTCTCGCTCGCTCGCTCGGTCCCTCTCTCGAACTGGGATGACTTACCCTTGCTACATGCCTGACACGTGAAGAAGCCCATCAGTTAGATTCTATGTTAACAAAATTTGAATACACAATCTACACTTTATTTTATTCTAATATTTTGAAATGCATTAACAATATTCAAAGTACCAAATTTAGGCCATACGTTTTCTTTGTTTCTCAAATGAATATGTTCTTTTCATTTCAGATTCGTTCTCAGTATTAGCAGAGTGTGTTCGGGTGGTCTGGATAACGTGATGAGAAAATCACTGTCTTCGACTGACCGAGCAGACAATAGTATTTCCAATGACGGGTTACGTCATAAACCAAATGCGTCACTTTTCGAGCCTCAGGTGCCTACGATAAGTGCCAGAAACATAGGGAAACCTGAAGATTTCTTTGGGAAGAGTGAAGTCTCAAAGAAATTGCCTAGTGGCAGAGCCAGCGCAGAAGTCGTAAATGAGGCTGACGTCATACAAGATTCAAGGTCCAAACAATCACAGTCAAGGAACGAGTCAATGCCGCGGGTTGGGCCAAAAAGAGATAGGGGAAGCACAACTCCAAGCAGCTTGGCAATAGCTAAGCTTCAGTGGATGGAAAAGAAAAGGGTTGAATTCGAAAGGAGAATGGAGTCTTTCAGAAATTTTGTGCCTAGTAGTGAGACTGGCGCTTCTGATAGTGATAGACCGCAGCAAGATTCACCTCAAACTCGTGATTATTCTAGTCTTTCTCTTGACTCGGTACATTTGAGACCAAACTCGTCTCATTTGAGTTATCGAGAACAATACTTTCTGCAAGAAGAGAAACAGTCACGTATGGAGAACCTAAAGAAATCTAAAAGTCGATTTCACAAAGCAAATCCCTCTGGAAACGTTCACACTCTGAATGAGAGAAAGATGCAGGCGAACGTGAAGTCTGATCCAGTGGAATTATCTTCTGGTCTCGCTGGTGACGTACAAAACGACCAAGGAATCCAAGAGCCCATTATGGACTCACAAAAAGTAGATGAAACAAACTTAAGTGTGGACAAGTCCATACATTCACAAGTTGGACCGTTCAAAACGTTTCCTGATTCGGAATCTTTGAATTCCACAAATCTTTTACCAGAGGAACCTGTGGCTTTCGTAAATGATACAGACAGTGCTGCTTTAGATATTTCCAAAATGACAGACAGCCGAGTTTCATCTAGTGTCAACGTAAGTCTAGTGCCATCTGTTGCAATCGTCCCACTTGTAACGAGCTCTGTTGAGTCCGAAAACCCGTCTAGCAGCAGAGACAGGGCCGCCTTGACACCACTTGTTTTGTCTTTGCCTATGTCTGAGATAAGAACAAGAGAAACTGTAGGGGATTCTCTTGGTCCGGCTGCCTTTATCCCTTCTCTTGTGCCTTCAGCCATACAGGCTTCTCAGGAGGTCGAATCCTCACCCACATCCCTTGTGGTGAATATCATTACCCCGAGTGTTACTGCTGAAGCAATTTTTGGAATCAATTCAAGTGAAGACGGAAACGACGCAGGTGACAGTCTGTCTTCCAATGTTGGGGCGGCACAAAGCACTGAGCCTCCAGTGACTTCTCCAGCTATTTCAGCATCTATAGCACCGTCATTTTCAGACAAATCAAGTGTGCTGAATTCTGTTTCTCCAAATACACAGGCTACCCCTCCTCCTTTCTCAAAACCTACTGTTCTTCCCAATGTTCAAGTACCCAGTACTGCAGCTCCAGTCAAACCAGCGCCCTCTATACCTCCATCATCTTGGCAACATGCCAAACCTTCAGTGGCGCCTCTTCCTCGTGTTAATACAAACACCGTTCCTGGAACGAGTGAGGTCGCCCCTAATAAGATCTCTCCTTCACCAACTGTGTACACGCCACCACCTACTACTCAGTCACCTCCTGACCCAAAACTATCGACATCTGCTGGAAGCAATATTGAACAAACTTTTCCTCCGTCGCTCGTGCCCTCGACTTCCGCTTCATTGATAGGAAATTTACAGCAAGCTTCCAATCCTACACCACCTCCTTCCTCGTTTCGTGGAGTTGATGTTTTCGTTTCTTCTGAAGACTTCCTAGAGGCTTCAGATACACCTGCTCTGCTTCCACAGCCGTCGCAAACTACAACAATGTTTTCGAATAATGGCTTAGCCAGTAAGGAGATCACGGACTCCATCACGGCTAACCAACCCCGGGATTCGTTTACGTCAGCTACAGACAGCGTATCAACTGTCACCTTGGCGTCGGGCTCAACTAGCAGTAGCAGCAGCAACGACGGGGAGAACGAAGACGAGGATGACCTCGGCGGTGACGCCCTTTGGCCCGTGATTGCCGCGCTGGTGGTCGGCATTCCCTCCGTTGTCGTGTTCGGCATCGCCATCACTGTCATCCACAGACGCAGGTTGGAGCAGCCGACCCAGTTGGCAGTGGTTGCTTCTTCTCTGTACCCCTCGCTTTAACACACCCTACTTGTAGCGCTTACCCGCACACCCCTCCTCCCCTGCGAGGTAACTGTATATGCACGCTTCGTGTATTGTGGACAAGAGAAAAGAGGCCAATTATTAACTTATTTTTCTCAGTTTTCCCTCTATTCTCTTGACCCAATACTTATCACCCTCACGCTAACAGTATGCCTTACGCTTGTGTCTGCTTCATGTGTTTATTGCTGTTGTATTCTATTTTAACATCACTGTCCTAAAGCTGAAAGTTTGGTGTTAGCTATGACAAAGGGTTGTGTATATACAACAAAATTACTGCGGTTTAAACAATAATAATTCCTCACTGCAAGCCCAGTTCAATCTTTAGGTCAAACAAATCACCTTCCTTTGCAGCTTCACAAAACTAACATTCTATCTATTTTAGTATAAAACATTTGATACTTGAAATCAAGTATCTGCTATCTTATTTTTAGTCGTTGTTTTGTTTTCACTCAAGTTTTGTTAATTTCAGTTTCCCTTTCCTTGCCACGATGATCCTCCCCTTTCGTGTGCTCATCGCTTATGATAACGCTATGCGTTCACTGTTGTTAACTATTCTATTTTTCCCTAACATGTTTCCTAACGCCTTAAGGATTGTTCTAAACAATCGAAACTGAGCATTCACTCCCAAAACTTGCTACCAATAACGTTTTAAAAGATTAAACACATATTATTATGTCGTATATCTATGCTTTTTTCTCACTGCACAATAACAATATGTTGCTCACTGCTTACGTTTCACCACTTACCACGCAAAGCAGTGTGTGGACCGTTGGAGAGCGAGCACTGTTGTCTGTTTCCATTGTCGTCCTGTTCTTCAGTGTAACATTTTTATCCAACACAGTAATGTCAGGATTTTTTTTTCAAATTTACTTCAGGTTTTTTTTTCAACTTTTTAGAAAACAGGGGTCTATGGTGCAATGGTCAGGTTTCTCGATGTTGAACGCAGAAGACCTGAGTTCGATTCTCGAGTGGGAAAGTGCGTTTACATTGGCTGACGGGATAGAAGTAGCTTGCCTTCTGGTGGGCCTAAACTGTGTCGATGGAGGAGTATAATGTTTTTAATCAATATCAAAGCAATTATTGTTTCGAAAACTAGGAAAAAGTATTTAATCACGTTCTCGTTTTTGGGGTCTCAAAACTGCTATCGTTAAGGTGATGTATCATTATTCACCTCTTATATCTCAGGTCAGTTCGTAAGCATTTGCAACGCCTCCTCTTTGAAAAGAGACACCAAACAACACAGCAAAAAATGTTAAATTATTTTTTAAAAACAAAGTAAGTTGGCAAAATACTAAATTTTACAAATTGCGCTCGTAGTCCGAATCCGAGACGAATAAACAATGGTGATTGTCGTTTGTCCCTTCCACCCCTTCCAGACTTTTATCTTCTTTGTCCCTTGTCCTGAAGAAAGATTGGGGTGGGGGGGGATCAGTGGCCCTGCTTTCGGAACATCCTTCTCCACATCTTGGTATTAGTTGGGCTTTTAACGTCAGGAAAAAAAAGATAAGAAACATATTATACTTGTCAAGGTTTTCAATAGTTTTCACAAGACAAGTTAGTTTTATGACTGCACATATCTGCAGGTCATCCTCAATTGAACTGATCTTTGGTTTCAGCACTTCTGCTGGACAGAATACTATGTGGAGGGCACTATTTTTAGACTACTTGGACACGGAAATTGCCCGTATCCTGTTTCGTCATACTGACTCAACACAATATCTTATTACCGAAAAACACAGCATCTAGCTGTAACTTTTTTTTAAAGTATATCTTTCCTTGTATAATGCCCTCCTTACCCATGCATGAATCTACCCCTCCGCTTTCGAGTTTTAATAAGCTTGTTTTGTTATTGTTTTGTTTTGTTGGTATTTTTGTGGTGTTTTTTGGGGGGTTTTCTTTGTTTTCCAGTGCGTAAGGCTTCTTGGCCTCTTTTGCTCTCTCGGTTCCTTTATCGCCTGCTTGCCTTGTGTCAATATCGACCCCCCCCCCT